GTAAGGATGGAGTGAGGATGTGAGGCAAGAAAACGGAGGAAATGCGAATCAGTCCACGCTAAAGCAGAGGGGATTTTTAGCAACGTTGTGCTTTTACTCAGCATGCACTTCTCTAATCTTTATACTACATACAGAAAGAAAACACTGCAGTTTGCTGGGGGCTGCTGGAATCCCTCCGAGGGTAAAACCCAAACACGCTTACTACAAAAGTCTCTCGGCAGCCTGCAAGCGAGGGATGTGCAGAGGCGCGACTCGTGCCCCTCTCCAGGCCGTGTCCCTCGGCGGCTCCATCGGGATCGGGGGCCCGGGGAGGGAGCGGCAGGAGCAGGGCCAGAGCGCGGGAACGCGGCCGCGACCCCGCTCACCTCCACGGCCGCCGGCTCCGCCCCGCCAAGGCCCGGGAAGCACCAGGGACACTCGGACACGGTAGCCAGGCGCGGGGCATCACCCCGGTCATCCCTCGCCGGAGCCGGGCATCCCCCCGGGCACCCCCCCCACGCCGGCTGCAGCCCCGCCCGCAGTGTCCGGACCGCCGGCCCCTCCCGCCGCTCACCAGCTGCTTCAGGTCCTCCTCAGAGAGCCCGGCGTAGCGGTACCGCTGCTGCTCGAACTCGTACCGCGTCGTCTTCACCACCACCACCACCCGCGACGGCCGGAACCCGCCCCCCGCCCGCAGAGACGAGCCCCCGTCCCCTCCCCGCTGCCCCGCTCCCCGCCCGCCCCTGCTTGGCCCCGCCCCGGGTGCTGGTGGCGCGCGGGACGGGGCGCGCGGCACGTAGGCGGCGCGCGGCGGATGTGCTCGTGCCCTGATCCTCGCGCGCCGTGAGGGGTTCGGGACCGACCCCCGCCGTGAGGGGACAGCGACGGTGTCCCCAGTGCTCCCCAGTGCTCCGCCGTGTCCCAGGGCACAGCGAACACTGTCCCACCAGTGCCCCACTAGTACTCTTATTAAAGTCCCGGGAGGCAGCGATAGTGTTAAAGAGATAAAGAGGAAGAAATTACTTGGTTTCAGATCGCGTGTGTGGAAATCTCACGTGTTGCTGCTCCTGCCCTCGGTCTTTGTGATAGCTTTACAGCACCGCAGAAAGGCAAATACGAACTGATAATAGTTGCATTAGGGAAACCTCAGATACCTTTGGGCAATAGACGGGAATTCTGAGACCAAGCAGTGTTCTGAGAGTAAACAGTGTTCCTAAACAGTGTTCCTAAACAGTGTCCCCCAGAAAATAATACAGAAAAGTGGGAAAACACAGCACGTGCTGTGTTTTAGAAGGACCAAATCCTGCATCTGGTGCGGAGAGCTGGTGTAGCTTAAAAGCTCTTTTTGTTATCCATGCCTGTTCTGGTCTGTCTTCTGACATTTGCCAGTGTCAGGAAGGGCAGAAAGGGCCTGGCTGCAGCATTGCAAGACAGCGTCTGGCAAGTCCAGGTAAAAATAAATAAATAAATAAATGAAATTATCGATCCTGAGTTACTTTTTAATATTGTAAGCAAGCTGTCCAGAAATTCTGTGGGGGTTTGCATGATTATCAATAACTGCATGCGCAGGCACCGACTGCCACAGACGGTCCCTCTGCTCTGAAGGCTTCACTTAGACACGCATTTCTCCTTACTCACCCTGTTCCTCATCTTCCCTGGGGCAAGGGATTGAAGCAGCCACTCCTGCCTGTCAATGCAGGAGCACTCTACAGTGCTTTGCCAGGAGTCTTGGGAAATCAGCATAGCTGCAGCCATTCTGCTCTTCCCACAAAACAAAGGCTCTCTCCAGTCTTTGCTGGTGGGTAGGAGGATTTTTTTGTCTACTGATTAGCTTAGCCTTGAAGGAAAATATCACAAAACAGATTACCAGGAAACCAATTAAACATAACTAATTCCCTTGCTAACCAGAAAATACCTCATTCTGTATAACCATTAACTTTTAGGTTGTACAAAGCAGTAGGTAATACAACATCCTGGAGACCTAAAAGATATAAGAGATTTCGAAAATTTATGACTCTGTTTTGAATGGTATCTATTTTATAACTTAATTGACCATTTAGCTGCTTCTCTAAGATTTTGTGCTCTATGTATTGTATATTTATATTGAATTGTTTTGATTTTTGAAAATCAAATCAGTTTCAACCATTAAGTTTGAATATGGAATAATGTTTTATTCTGAAGTAATGCAACTAACATGCTATGGTCTTTGGAATTAATTAACACAGCAAGCTTATTGCATAAAATATGAAATATGTATTTAAAAATGTAAATTCAAATCAGTAGATGATTAAATTTCTGGAAACAATGCTGAAGCACAGGCTATGAAGTGATTAATCCATAGTTCCCAGAAGGAAGTCTCTGACAGGCTAGCTCTTTGTCAGAGTACACAGATTGTCTCATACCCCATTATCTTTGTGGAAAAGGATTTAAACTTTCTATACGATATGAAATACAGTTTGTTGAATATTAGTTACAGTTTGCATCTTACTTTATAAATGGACCTACTTAAAAATGTTCAGTAGTATGTAGTGTTAGACACTAACCCCTCCCTCACTGCAAGTCTTGATTTGAACATACACCTGATACACAGCAAGAAGACACGTATCTGTCAAATGACCCTTTACAAATCTTGAGATGTATTCAGTTTGTGACAAATGACATGTCTTTATGCCCCATTTTCAATGACTTTAAAACAATATACCCAGTAGATTAAGGGACAGATTATTTCATGCAAAATTAAAGAAATAAATATAGGCATTTAAACCTGGCATTGTTGTATGACACAAATTTGGTCTAGGAGTGAGCTTCCACTGTAATAACTTTTTGAACCTCTCGCTGACCAAACCCAGCTTTGATTTGCACATAGAGTGCTTAAAAATTCTTCATGGAAACAGATGCTTCAAAACTGCCTGAAGTTAGAAAAATGCTTCAGAGAAATGCCCATTTTAGGGCACCAAGGAGTTATTATTTACATGAGGTAAATTTCAAAACACAAATCCATAGAAAACCAGGCATCCTTAGCTCTATATTCTTCAAGTTATAGTGCGAACTTAAAATAATACTTATGTCATACACAAAATATTCAGTGTAACAAAGTAACTGGAAAAATTTCTACATAAACAATAAATGATTCCCTAATTTCACTAGCTGCAAAACTGGCAATGCACAACTGTGCCAACTGTTTTATATAAGATAATCTCCATATGTAACCTATTTCCACCCAGAAGAATGTATATGTTGCTTGTAGTGCAGTTACAATCTGGGACAATTATTCATTTCTGCTCCTTCTTGAAGTCTTTGAATAATGGCTTCTTGTGATATTTTAATTAATAACAAGTCTATAATTAACTTATCCAATTATTTGCATTGTCTAGACTTACTCTATGTGCCACTGGTAAAAATTATTGTTTGTGTTTAATATGGTGATGCTATCAGTGTTAGGTGCTTTCACAGGGGACGAGGTAAACACACCATCACTGTAACATTTCATAAATCCAATTCCTCGGATTTTGAAACCAGCTGACCATAGCTGTTAATTCTTATAATCCAGAGGAAAACTCCAGACTAATGCTTAGAGAGCGTCACTCATGCAACACATCAGTCACATAGATGAACATATTAGCAAGTGTAGTCTGGTAGAATTTCTGATCGTAGATCCTATCCATGTGCTTGCACTTTGCTTGCAATGTATGTACCCTCATCACTGATTGCATAGTTGAGTTATGTAATTTAGTCATGTAATTTGGTTCTGAAATTCCAAATTACAAAATCAAGGAGGAAGCTAAAGGAAAAGCATAGTAAGTGCAGCTATTCTTTTCAATGCAAATTACTGATTTTTTTTTTTTTCCACAAAACCAGTGAGAGGAGAGAGCTTTCTTGTCCACACTTCCATTAGAACATATTTTAATTATCAGAGATTTACTTTTCCACTTTTCTTCCCACTCTTTGCTTATGCAAAGCAAACTACACCATTGCTCAAATAGTCTAATACAATTGACTTCAACATTTCAGAAGCAATTTGAGTATGCTCAAACAGCTGCAGATACCTTATTTTGTACAAATAACTTTAGTGTTTGTGAAACACAAACTGTTCTGAAGTCCACTTTTTAGACAGAGAACTGCTGTAGAATGGGCTGTGCATGCTTTTTTCTAAGTTTTCCTGTCAGCATGGCCCCATGGTAAGGCCTCTAAAACCCATCTCAAGGAAATAAGGATGCTCTTTCCCTCCCTGTCCATGTCATACTGGTTGTCACTAGCAGTGAAAGCAAATGTGCCAGAAGTTTTTCCTGTATTTATTTATTCAATAGAGCTATTACCTAATTCTTAACTTCATACAGTCTGCCAAAACTGTTGAAGAGGTCACTAAAGAGCATGACATAAAAACCTGAGGGACAAGATTTATGAAGGGATACAAATGCCTCCAGAATGTAAAGCAGGACATTAAGTCTATCCCGTCCAAGAAGATTCTGCTAGAAGTTCCTAATCTTAGTAGAATATATTATTATTAGGAACTGTTAGTTTTCCCTCCTTGGGAAAATTACTGTATGTATATATAAGATCTTCCAGCTCTACATCCCTTATGTACATAAATTTGTCACTGGGGTTTCTTATAAATAGATAGAAATGTATCTAAAAAAAAAAAGAATCATGTCTAGTTTCATATGGGCTCATACGGGTTTCATATTGGATCATGTCTCTACACCTCTCTTCAGGCCATAGGGACCTATCCTTCCATGCTCTGTTTCTCCTCCCTCCCAGAAACTGCTACAGCTTGTACAGAAGTAGAAAAACACCACTCAGGCCAACAGCATCACAGAATATACCAAGCTTACCCTGAAACTTTTTCCGCAAAGGATGCTTTTCTCTGATTTTGTCTCTCAGCAACTGCCAATTTTTGTGAATAATTTTAATTGTCTTAGAGCAGTCTAGCTCCTGTGAAATTCTTTGAAACTGAACAGTGGACTCACTGTGTGTCTGACAGATAGGTGGATGGTGTGCACAACCACTTACATATTGTTTCCTCAGGAAAGCAGGCTTGAGATTCTGCAGCATGGAACTCTAACTCATGGAAGCCCTAACTGGGACACAAAATAAGACTCCTAGTTCCACAGAAATTTAAGTGGTAAGAAAATTGTTTATTGTTGAGGTACGGAAGTTGCTCTCCAGCTGTCATAAAATGACAAATTACATTTTTAAAACCAGCTTAATACATTACACAATGGTGTACCTTCAGGCTTGAGGAACAGTGAACTTTAGTGCAGTGAGACTAAAGAGAACACATAATTAGGTTCTTAAGAGCAAAAATTTTTTCCTCTCTTAACAAAGTATCCAATGGCTTTAAAATATGCATCTCTTTTCCTCCTCAGCTTTTGGGAGATGAAGCATCTTGTTTGAGTGTGTGTGCACATGAGTGTGTGTCTTTATATGTATACTTGTGTATACATGTAAGGATATTGGGAAGAGACAAATCAAAATAGCTTTTATTTATAAGCCTTGTATGCTGTGGGAGCATATGACAAAGTTTAAGTCCTGTCTGAAAAAGTTTTGTTATCCCTGCCCTGGAAACCTCCCTCATTTACCAAGGATTTTACAGCTGTAGTAGAATTCAGAGGGGTATCATGTTATTAAGGTGCTTAAATCCTGTTTCACAGAAAGCTTTGATTATCAGGACAGACTTTGAAATCAAACTCTGCATTCAGCGCATAGCCAGCTGAACTCCAGGGCAAACATATCACCATGACCTGTTGCTAAATACATAGGACTGCTGTGTTTTACAACTGCCTGAGTTTTTATAACATGGAGCTTTGTCCCTGGGGATGAGTTGCAGCAATGAAATATGAAGGTCAGTGATGTAAATATTGTTGCAGTCAGGAGTGAGGCTGATAACAAAGGACACAATGTACATTATGGAAACAATATTTTTATTATTGGCAGAGTGGAATAAAAGAAAATCCCCATGCTTCACTGTTTGACACAGGTGCTCTGTTGGGAAGCACTCCCTTTTTCCTGAAGGCAGAAAAAGTTCAAGTTGTACTTAAATTTACTGACATCCAGATGCTCAATCAATGTCAGGCAAGTGCTAATTTTGGTGAGCCATTACATTCAGTGTAATCCAGACAACTATTTGAGCTTCATCTGGATACTAATATTGGCAGTGCACTGAGAATTCAGGAAGAAACTAAGTATTGTTCGAACTTCATACCATGTTCAGGTGGGAAAACTAACTTGTAACTTGACTGATCAGGTGTGTTGCAGCTTTTTAGATTGAGAAATCATTGCAATTACCTTAATTAAAAGGACTTGATATATTTCAGAACATTGTTTCAGCTCTGAGGATGACAAACAATATGCAGGACTTCAGGGAAGTGGCAGTGGAGAGATTGCAGACAAATTCTATTTTTGACAGAATGAAAACATGGAACATAAGTGGTGTATCTTACTGTGCATGGGCTTATGAATGACCCTGCAAGTCTCGATTCACAGGTGAATTGGAGTTTTTTTCTCACAAAAATGTTTAGGTAGAAGGCATTAGTTTATTAAATGACTTTTACAGAGCAACTGTGTCTTGGCCACAGTCAGGATTATCGTGCACATGAGAATGTGTAACACACTCATGAATGACGCTCTTAGGAATAGCTACAGCTAAGGCAGAAGTAATCTTAGATAATCTCACACATTTAAGGGATTTTTTAATGTAGATATCCTGTTGTACTGTGCATGCATTTATTTGTGTATATCAAATGGACAATTAATATACACAAGTGCAGGTGTTTGTTTTGTTCAGCTAGAAAGGTGTTCATGAGCAAGCAGTTATACTTTAAATTTTAAAGCTGATATAGCCCTTAGAATGAACTTTTACTTCCTCATGGTGAATTCTATTAGTGCATACAGCTGAAAGATGCAGATCATGGTTCTTTTTCCTTAAACAAAATTCTGCAGAAAGTATACCACTCCAGATATTTTCAAAATAAATATGTAGGGGGTTTCTATAGGGGCTAGTTTCTATAGGCCTTGGTCATGCTAAACTGCCACCCCAGGTTTTGCTTGCATGTACTTACAAATAGGATGCTGAATATTACCACACAATTTTAAATAAATGTTTTCAGTGAAGCAAAATTTAAAGTTTTCCAAATGTATCTTTTAAATAATAGATTAAAAGTAACAAATATCTGTTTACATATATTATTAGTTCATGCTTATGTGGTATTATCCATCAATATGATGAACAAGTACTTATTCCCTATAAAATTCCTCGCTCTAATAATGCATCTAAATATATTTAATTCTAAAATTGAAAGACTTTATAACAGTTCTTGACTATTGGAAGCCATGGTGTTATTCACAGCTCAGTGCAAAGCAGGCTGCCTGGAATCCTCAATAGTGCATCTGAAGTTCTTTCTCAATGAATTAAACTTAAGCTGTCTCTAAAATTAATCTCTACTTAAAAGTAATAAAGTAATATGCATCTGATTTCCTCCCTCCAGGGGTTGATAAGTCAGCTTAGACATTTTGGGAAGATGAGTTCCCAGCTGAGCTGTTGTAACTTCTGGCAGATATCATGAGCAGACAACAGACTGCCTGCGGTTCCATCTAGAATGATCTGAAAAAGAATTTATTGAAAAAAAATCTTGCTTATTTGAGCATATTCATGTTTTGAAACAATCCAGCATTTCATAATACAAAGCAGTAGGTTAAAGTTTGGATATGATCAGTTCCTGGTTTAGGTAAATAGGTAACTAGATAACAGAGGATTATTCACAAATATTTGAGCATGTGACTCATGAATGAAGCCTGTGACCCTCCAAGTCAATAAAGACAAGCACAAAAACACTAAGGAGTCTGATGTCTAGGTAGGGCAATGTACTGGGATGCAAATTATCTCACAGGGTACACTGCTTTAAGACTTCATTACAGATGTTCAGAAAACTGTGAGAAATCCAACATACCTTCAAACAGCTCATTGGTTATGAGAAAGTGGTTTTGGTGCGTAATCTCTGTGACTTTGACTCATCTGCAGAAAGTAGGCAGAACTGACTAATAATGTCAGATACATAATACCACTACCACAGTATCTGCTTAAAAATTGCTGCTACCATCTGGCCACCCCTAAATACTTACCAAGAGTTTAAAATCTTATACAAGTGAAATGAAAGCTTGTGTTTGTCAGAATGTTAAAATTGATCTTCCCCCTTCTCCCTCCTGATATGGGAGCATTTAAAACCAATCACAGAGTGTCTTTTTTCTCTGCTTTAGATATTACTGGTGCCTGCTGAAAAGAATACAGAAACTCCAACAAAGAAGTTAATTCTTAACTTTTCCTTCTTCCTCAGTTTAATCACTATCAGGTATGTGTGTGTTAGCTTTATAGTTTGGAATCCTTAACAATTGATAAGAATTTAAAGTAAATTGACAAGAAATGCCAAACAAAGCAGTTTTTCAGGAGTTACTGTGATGTGGCTGAAGAGTAATTCCTTTAAGAACTTTAAAAGTACTTCACTTCAAAATAGAAAGAACGCTCTTGTAACATTTTATATCTTGGTAAACTCCAGCATAAGAGAGAGTCCTAATGAAACTGAAATGGGAAGTACATGTTTAATGGACCAGAAAATGTCCCTAAAATAAAACATTCTTCAGTTCTGCAAGTGCATGTGCTTTTGCATTTCTGTGTTATAATACTGTCTGGCTCTTCAACCAACACACTCCTGGTGTTTGGAGACTACAGGCTCTGAATACCAGTAGTCTCAAAAATCCACACAATTTTTGTGGATCCATATGGGATACACTCTTATGTCTTTGCACACTGTGATTTTTCTTGTAAGGTCTATGGCTGGGTATGGAATCACTTCTTGGGACTTATCCAAGCCTAGACTCCAGAAATCTTTGATTTAATTTTAATAGCTTCTGAGATAAAATTACAGAGAGGACACCTCAATCAAAAGAGATGATTCCTCAGTCAGGATGAAGTTAGGAGAAGATTTCTGATTAGTGAGGTGTAGTATAAGGAGTAATACATAAAAGTTTTCTTTGCCTAGTGACAGTGCTATCTTTGTACCTCTCATGTACTTTACTTGTTTGACTTTGTTCAGCCAAGAAGTTTACTGTTTAGTCTAAATTCCTTTCCTCAGCTCACTTTATAGGCAGAGGGAAAAGATAAATACTTTCCAAAGACTTTTTGGTCCCATCCACTCTCAAAATCTATTTAAAGATTAATTGTTCTTTTTCTCTCCACTTAGATTTACAGAGTATTTTGTTGGTAAAAATATTCAGGCTATAACTGGAAATATGAAATATGATCTGATAAAAATATCAGGCACAGCAAATTTATCTTTATGGACTTAATGAAATTAATAACTCTACCTGAAAGTAAAGCAATTCAAATGTCTATACGGAACTCATAAAATCATACAAAAATCTCTACTACCTTATACATTGTCTGTATATAGCATTAACATACTGTAGATTTTCTGTAAGGAATGCCTACAACAAAGTCTTGCAAATATACAGAATCACTTCAATGTCCTTAATTCACTTACTAAGTATATCATATTTGCTTTCTTCTTCATTCTCAAGCACTAAAGACAATTATAAAAATACTATAAAGATAATAAAGATCTAATTTTTTGTATCTTTTACAGTGTCATGAAATACATCATCTAGGAACTATGTGAGTTCCTTTTCCACAAGAAAGAAATTGCTATATTAAGAAAAGAAAACCCTGGTAGGTGGGGGGATGAGAAAAAACAAATAGAACACAATGACATACAATGGAGGCATATTTTATAAATTATTGTATCTATTGTAAAGAAACAGTCCCTGAAGACTTAGGCTTCTTAACATTTACATATTCTTAAGGAGAGGTGATCTCCAAAACTGAGTTACATCAATAAAAAGAAGATGACTTGTTCACATATATTCTTCAATTAAAATGAAAGAATGAAAATTAAAGTGTTAAAACTAATGCTCTTAAAAAAACAGGATTTGTTCTCTTGTATCTACATGGACATTTCTCTGCTGATATTTAAAACTGACCGCTTCCTGTTCAAAACCCATAAGGCCTATTATTCTTCCATTTTTGTAAAAGGGAGCTCCAGAGAGAATCATGAGTGAGGTTGAATGTCTGAAGTGGAGAGTGACTCAGATACCAGTAACTGAAATGTGTGCAAATTAAAAGCTCTGAGAAGAGATTAAGATAAGCAGAAGAGCTAGAAGCCATTAAAAAGTGCTTGAAAGGGATTGTTAAAACTGTTGTTACAAACTGGAATAAATGAGGCACAGATGCTTAAATTGAAAGGACAAAAAAAGCAGCACCTCACACATTTCAGAATCTGTTTGCTGGCTGCCATCTGAATATTTGTACCAGATGTTTCTGCAAATCAAAATAAATATTTAACTTGTATATCTGTGTTCCTACATTGCTTTGAAACTCCCTTTCCCTTTTTATTTTTTTCTTTATTTTTCCTTTTTTTTTTTTCCCTGAAATAAGAAAGAATTCTTATTAGGAGTTCTGGGAAGGAATCAAGCTCCATCCAATATTTCCAAGTTACCAGAAACTGTGTGCAGTTTTGGGTCACTCAATATAAGAAGGACATAAAGGTATTGCAGTCTATCAGGAGGGATAACCAAGGGTGAAGGGTGTTAAGGAGAAGCTGTATGAGGTGCAGCTGAGGTCACTTGGCTTGTTGTCCCTGGAGAGGAGACTGAGGGGACACCTCACTGGGGTCTTCAATTTCCTCATGAGGGGACGAGGAGGAGCAGACACTGATCTCTGTGGTGACCAATGACAGTGCCCAAGCGAACTGCATGAAGTTGTTTCATGGGAGGTTTAAGCTGGATATTAGGAAAAGGGTCTTCCTCAGAGGGTGGCTGGGCACTGGAACAGCTCCCCAGGGCAGTGGTCACAGCACCAGCCTGGAAGAGTTCAAGAGGCACGTGGATAATGCTCTGAGGCACAGGGTGTGACTCGTGGGGTGTGCTGTGCAGGACCAGGAACTGGACTCGATCCTTAAGGGTCCCTTCCAATTCAGAATATTCCATGATTCTATGATAAAGGGGAATTTTTTTTTCCTTAGGGAAACAGTACTTATAGCTCTTGCTGTTCATTTCTTGATTCTTGATGAATAGTTCTTGAAAGGAATGTTTATAATATAAGGACAGGAAATGTTGAAAGGAATGTTTATAATATAAGCACAGTGTTACCTAGCTGCTGAGGGAAACTAAGCCTGTGAGCAACACCTCAAAGTTGCCTATGTAGTCCATCTGTTGAAAAATCACACCTAAACCTAATTGGAAGGTCCTGTATCCCCTGTAGCAGTTTGACACAAGCAAAATGACTTGACAGAAATATTACTTGTCTTTTGCTAAGATAGAAGAGCTTTTAAGTCTGACAGCCCTTTCTGCCTTGCTGTCTGCAAATGTCACTGCAGCCCTGTTGTGAGTTGCATTAAAAGAAACGTTAAGACATTAATATCTTATTTTAGTGGTATTTTTCTCTCTTAGAAACCTACATTTTTTTTATGATGAAGAAAGCCGGTAAAAGTGGTGTGTAAATGTTGTCCTGCAGATTTCCTAGTTGAGCTAGTTGTTACAGCCAATCAAGGAACATGTTTTAAATAAAGTTAACCATGACATAATAAATATCTTCATGAACACATTGTGCTCCAGGCTTTTAGTAACAAGCTAGTCACTGATGTGAATGGACTCATTCTTCACTTACTCAACATAAAATCAGTATCTCAACATCTCTAGTAATTTTTACTGAAATAGACTGAAAAAGCATTTAGATAATTTCTTCAGAAATTTAGAAAATTTCTTAAACCTCAAGCTTTTGTCAAGAGTATTCCATGGCTATAAATATATGTAGATACTTGAGCTGGCAAAACCTTACATTTTAACTGTAATAAGTCAAAATACTAAAAGGAATTACCCAGTTTCTATCTGAAAAGGGGTATCTGTATCTGATAAAAAGTTATAGTCAGCATAAAAAAAAAGGTCAAATTTTCATTACTTTCAGCAAATATGTGAAAGGATTACACATTTCCAGCAAAACCTCTGCTTACCGGATCCAGTACTGCTCACTTGAGTTAGTTCTTCATCATCCTCATCATCACTATCACAGTTAAATGGCTGAAAAGCTGTTTCTGACTCTGTGTCTCCTTGATGAGCATCTGGCTTTTGCTCAGCAAAGCTTCGCAGGGCCACAAGGCGATGATGTATTGCTGCATACAGGTGTTCAGTGTCTGTCGAGCTTGCCTGCAGAACATCAAATGTATACAGTCCAAAACAACTGAGAAAAATATCTATTTTTTAAAATTCATTTAAAAATATTGAAATAGTTGTATTTTGTCCTTTCTAATCAAAACAATCAGCTTAAGATCCACACTTAATAATTAATATCCAAATATCAAATACAAATAATGTGAAGTTCTTTAATATGGTCTGAGCTTTACATGCAGCTGTTGACTATTTTCTCTACAGTCACAAGAAACATAAGCTTAAAAATTACTTTCCATGAAGAAAAGCTCAGTTTTTATGGAATATTTGATCTTTTGGATGATTCCTGAGCTGATTCTAGAAGTAGGAAAGCCCTGACATGTTAATATATACAGTCGCCAGGTGGATACTGTAGAGATGGATACCAGCCTCTTCAGTGTCTGTAGGAGCAGCTTCCTGCAACCCTTGCCACACCCATTCTCATATATTGTGATTTTCTCATACATGTCTATTTTTACTGCCCAGTAGTGCCAAGACAAATTTATGGAATGTGAATTACACGCTCCATGAAAACTGCGCAGTACACCTGGAAATCAGGACATTTGTAATTCTCACATGCAGACCAGCAGTCCACCACAGCCATAGTTGAGCCAATCCCTGTTAGGGAGTGACAGATTTACAGTACTTGCAGATACAGTGCATGGTGCTTTGCTTGTCTATGATATGTGACACTTCCTGGAAATGATGATTTATTTGTCTTTCCCAGAAAGCTGAATCCTTCCTAGAAAGATCTACTGGGGAAAATGTAAACATCCTTAAGCTCATGTGGATGCTCTCACTTTCCAGCACATTCCCATCTCCAATTTAGCCCTTGCTGGAGAAAATCAGGGTTCCCAAGACACCCTTGGGACTTAAACAAGGTGATACTGAAACTCTGTATTCCTTGCAACTGAGAAATGGAGGTCCTGCACTGGATGGATTTATTGCAAGTGGTGTGTTGAGAACCATGGCAGAAAGCTGCTGCCTTTTACCAGAGTAACTAGTAAAAATTTTAATTACCTGTGAAGATACTGTCAGTGTATTGCTTCTATTAAAAAAGAGCCATTTCTGCATATTACTGGAATGATATCCATCCCATTGGTGGTATGTGTACCAGAGTCTGGAAACGTCTGTCTTAAGGCCAGATCATACCATCACACCTGTTTTTTTGAATAGCTTTCCTACACATTCCATAATAAAAGTCATGTAACTTTTATTAGCTCTGCTTAGAGCTCTGCTCTAAGCAGAGCTCAGTCTGATAGAGCACGAAGGCCATTTGCTAAAACCAGCCTTCAGCAGCCCTTCAGGATTCTAGATGACGTGGGGTTTTGGGTGGAGCTGTTGTCTCATACTCACCTGAGTTATGAATAGCATTCTAACACATTCCATAATAAAAGTCGTGTAACATCTAAGCAGAGCTCAGTCTGATACAGCACGAAGGCCATTTGCTAAAACCAACCTTCAGCAGCCCTTCAGGATTCTAGATGACGTGGGGTTTTGGGTGGAGCTGTTGTCTCATACTCACCTGAGTTAGAAATACTTGAACTGAATGGTCCTCTTGATCTGTTGCAGTGAAGCACAGGCTCTTTCTGTTTGCTCTTTTTATAACCATTTGTTCCCAGAGTTGTGTGTTGAGTATCAGTCTCAAGCTACCTTGATTTCGCATAACTAAAATAAGGAGGTTATATGATAAGATATACTGCAGTTGTTTTCTCCAGCACTTGTATACCACTAATATTTTCATCAATTATTCTTTTTAATTTGGTATAAAACCCTGATATAGTGAGATTTTTTTTTTTATATCCAAATATATTAGTTTTTTTCAATACGTCTGACATGCAAAGGAAATAATCTGCTGAAACTGTGCAATGCAGTACAAAAAAGTGACAGCACAGTAAAAACAACATTCCAGAAGAGTCTTGAAACAGTGCTGCTGAAAAAGCAGAACCAACAAAGAGCAAACTGTTAGACTGATGACCGGGCTGAAGACACAGTACATCAGAGAAGTGCACAGAACCTAACAATATATGTGAGCCCAGTTCCTCAGTCTGTAACACACAGAATTTTATCAAGTAAAAAGATTCTCAGCAACTCAACTTAAATATAATGCTCTTCTCAGATTTAAGTGTTCTGAAATAAACTCTGGCCAACAATAACACAAGTTATTTGGTGTTTCCTGTATGGGGTATTTCATTATTTAACTCGTACTTAGCCTTGACTGCAACATTCCATGCTTATTGCTAGAAGTGTCATTAAGCCTCAGCGATCCTCTGCCTCTTTCAGTCCAGCTTAAAGAAAGCTTATTAAATACAAAGAGCTTGCAGTTAATCTGAAAGAGAAATACATGATGAGAACTGCCAGCTAATGCTAGTTTTATTTGCTCTAAAATAACAACTTTACTTTTACAACTTTATGGTTGTAAAACTTTTGACTGGGCTTTTAATACATCCATGTATTACATGGCGTGTGCAGAAAGGTACATAGATATACCTATACACAGATGTATAGCTATATCACCTTTATTAGCTAAAATGAAAGGGCTCCTAGATCTGTGAAATCTTTTCTCATTATCGAAAACATTCAGCATTAGTCCCAGTTTACTTTTTCATTTCTCTTCATTAACTCTTTGTCTGTTGAGAAAGTTGCTGAGGCCCTTCAGTTTTGCTGCTGCTGTATTTTTAAGTGTAGCAGCAGTCTGTGATATCCACCAGCATAGCTAAATTTGTTGCAAAAGTTGTACAACCTTATTTCCTCACTCATTGCAAATGTTATGCAACAGGATACCAGTACTGGTACTAGAAGAGTACTGCTTCAAAGACAATAAAACTTTTGTGTTCTGCCAAAACAAATGAATTAATCAAAAATAAAATAATGTTGAGATTTTTAAAATCGTAATTGCTATTTTTTGAGAAAATAGTATTTTGAAGACAAAGAATAACAAGATACGCCCTGACAGGTTGAAAAGATAATTGCTACTTTAGCTGAACTATAAAACAAATTGCTTTTACAAGACATTGCTTTTTTTCCCAAAAATTTTTTTTTCATATGCCCCATCTTTACTCAAATCACTTCCAGTTCTAAGGTTGTGGTTACAGCTAGTATACTATGTAGATGCTTAGAAAATACAACTGAAATAGTCACTTACTGAAAGAGACAACAAAATTAACAAATACAGTATGCAAAAGAACACACCAACTTACAGAAAAATGGGTTAGATGAGGCATAGCTTAAAAAAAGCAAAAATTTAAAATATAAATTGAAGTTATTTTCAGATTGCTGCATCTGTAATAGATCTAGATGTTCTTTTCAACAACTAAACTACTCACCATCAAGGTTTTATGGAATACACACCTGCAATACATTTTGTTCTGCTTCTTCTCCAGTTATAACTTCAACTTTATCTAACAGGATTTTGTCCACTGGCTTGGAAACACAAGCAGCTGCTGATTCAATTAGTGTTGCATTCCTCAACAAAGGTCTTTCTGTAGGAAAAAAAAAAAGAAAAAAGAAATTATTTCTGTACAGGGAATATTTTGGGAATATTTTTAGGATAACAAAATTAGTACAGGTCACACAGGATGTGACCTCAGTAATACCTGTGGTATCTGACATTGTTTAGTGTTATTAATAAGTTTTTGGCCAAAGGAACAAACATAAGAGGAAAAGGAATATAAAATACCTCACTAAAAAGGCTCCTACAGAATTGAACAGGGCTGTTTATAGTTGCAGTTTTGTCCAAAGGGACAAACAGGAAGAATCAGAAACAAGGCCTAAATACTTAGAAGCTGATTTTCCAAATTAAACTCATCTGATATATTGTTATGCCGAGTATACATATCCCAATATTCAGAGTAATAATACATATACAATGAATAATTAACAGGATCACAGAAGGACAAGATTTGAAAGGAACAACATTGTTACAAAGCTCTGTATCTTTGCATAATCTATACACATATTCTGAGAGCTTTATATTTAGAATGTTTTACTTATAAGAATGCTTACACAAATCATAGGATCTAATACATCTGTTAGTAAACAGGAGTGCAGAATTTGTCAAGAAGGCTCAAAACAGGGGCCTGTTGGGGACTCCCTCATAGCCTAGATTTACATGGGTTGCTCAGCAGAAAATCTCACACGAGTCACAAACAAGCCCTGAAATCTGTCTGTACAGAACTGTCAGTCCCACAATTATGATCCAAAATAACAAACTAATTGATATGAGAATTTGAAAAATGCAAGCAACAGACAGTCTAAAATTTTAATTCAACAATGTAGTCTACAAGGCATTCATAAAGGTCGCTGTATTTTTTTTCAAACAATAAATAACAATCTGTACTAAATAACAATAATAATATTCTGTAATATTTTCTTGAGACCATGCTTTCTGAAGTTAGTCCAGTTTACATGTCATAAAACAAACTCTACCTGCTTTCTGAATATAGATTTTAGCATGTACTCTAAGCATACTCATGACTGGGTATCTTGAGAATTGATGAAAATTATTGACCACCACTCATCTGACATCCTCTAAAATACAGTGAGATATAATAATAGAGCTAACTGTGCTTGTTTGCTGAGTGTGCTTACTTGTTTGTGGCCTGACATGAGATGATCCCGTGGACATGGATGTTATTTCTCCTTTGTGTAAATCAGCTTCATTACACAGCTTGGGATGCCTCTCAGGACTCTAGAAAAACACAGGGGAAATAAGAATGCCTATTTTAAAAAATGGCTATGTTACTTTATATCAAATAGAACATTGAATAATTTAATGCATGCTAGGCTGAAGATTAGCAATTTTAATAGTTTCAGAGTAAAACTAGACCACATGATACAATTTCAGTCTCTAGAGGAAGTAATATTACTATCATAGAATCAGTACATCATTCTTCCTCTGAGAAGAATGACCTCTTTGTGTGGACTAGTATTAAAATCCACTGAAGAATTTAGGTGTTAAGGTACTGGTTATTTTATTTCCAAGCCATAGTTCCCAGAAGAGTAGTTTAAAACTCCCAGACACCAAAAACTTAACTTCAGAGGACTTAAAAATTTTCTATCACCTTCAGTTTTGCAGATAAATTTTCTTAGGCATGTGTAAATAAATGCCTGTGTCTTCTGACAATGCTTAGTGTCTCAACTCATACCTTATAAATAAATCTTGGCCAGAAGGCATACCCCAAACCTATGGTTGCCAAGTTTTTACCTGGCAGATTAAACCATACAGTTTTCATCCTACTTCAACTGAAAACTGAATTTCAATTCCATTTTCAATGGTGCAGTCCTCAGCTTGGGAACCACTTTTTTTGTCCTAGAGTCCTTCAGGACATAAGCTGCCTCACAAGCATGCACAATGTGCTTTAACATGGACACTCTCTAAGGTGTCCAATTTTCCCGTCACACTTATTTATCACAGAATCACAGGATGGTTTGGGTTGAAAGGGACCGTAACGATCATCTGGTTCCAGCTTCTCTGCCAAGGGAAGGGACACCTTTAATTAGATCAGGTTGCTCAGAGCCCCATCCAGCTCAGCCTTGGCTGGTCATCCTGGATGATCTCCAGGGATGGGGCATCCACAGCATTTCCAGGCAAATGTTTAACAGTGGTCTCACCACCCTCAAAGAGAAGAGTTTCTTCCTAATAGCGAACCTAACCTATGTGCTTCAGTATGAAGCCATTTCACCTTGCCCTGTCACTCCTGCTCCTGTAAGCAGTCTCTCTTCAGCTTTTTGTAGGTTTCCCTTCAGGTATCCGACCTCTTACAGTTACGATGGAAGTTAGAGCAGTAGAGCACATTCTTTTATCTTACATTGTGGGTGTTCCACTTTACATAAAATAGATAAAAAACTGTTTTTAAAGTAAAAAACAAGAGGGGCATATTGGTAAGCATTAGTAATTAAAGAACCTGTCTGTCTAGGGTGGTGAAGGTAGGAATGCTTAGACATTCAGCAGCACATCCTTAGATACTTTCTCCTCAAGAGACATTGGAACCATATTTGCTCACATCTTTAAAAGAAGGAGAACCTAAAAAGAGCCAATGTCTGAAAAAGTAATTGTACTCTTAAGTACACTGACCTTGATAAAAAGTCTGCCAGTGTGTGCAGATCCAACCAAAACTCTTTCAACCATGTTTTCCCCAAACACAAAATCAGAATTGCTGCTGTTTTGTATACTTCTTTCTTTGAGCAACTGACTTCTGTGGGAACAAAATAACAAAGAAATGTGATTTAGAACTATGTAAAACGCTTTAAAGATTCACCACACCTAACATTAAAGAAAAATTAAAAAGTAATCACATAAGTAATCAGGTAAATTCTTAAAGAGAATCTGAGAATATTCTCTATGGAACATTTCACAAAAGGAACAGAGTATCACACTGCATTTCATTAAGATTATTGAGGCCATTACTTAAGACCAAAGAACAAGCAGCAAAACAGCATGCCACTTCTCCTCAGGGAAGTGTCTTACTCCAGAAATTTTAATGAGTTACTTTCGTTTCCTTGTTTCCTTTTGCTCCTCCAAAGGACTACCAACAATTAACAGCTATCCTTTCAAGCAATGAAGCTCCAGTACTCTGCAGAATAATGTACACCCTGGTGCCTTACAGGCATTCCTACATCATCCTCCCAGCATCTTGGAAGTGCAGGAACGCAATGTATTCACCTACACACACAAATACTGAAAAAAATGTATAGATATGATAGCAGATGGCTTAAGATGAGGTGTAAGTAGAATAGGAGAGAAAAATGTTTCCATTTTTCAATTACCTGTTCCAGAGATAAAATGAGAGAACTCAATAGTTGCAATCCTTTGGTACTGGCCAGCTATGTTTTAGAGATTACATTCAAGAATATTCTATACAAGTAGAATTGTGATTTGACCTGCTAATTACATAGCCACTTTAAATGAACAGGGTTCATTTTTTGTAAAAGTGAGAAAAATCCTTGTAAACCTTGTGTGGAAGTTGTTCCTGCTGCTGGTTTGGTTTTGATTGTGGTTTTTTTTGATTTTGGGTTTTTTTTACGCAGGGGTTATAGGTTGTTTATGCTTTCTGTAGAACTTAATCCTGCACATCTTGCTGGCATAGGCAAAACCATGCAAGCTCTTTTCACTTCCTCTTGCAGAAGGATGACTTGGCAGGAAGGCAGCCTGATACTGTGTCACCAACTGCATTCTTCAGCACCACTTCTGTTTCACAGTATTTATCACCCTTGGGAGGGCTTAACATAACATATGTCATGTACAGGATATTTCTGTTAATTGGCTGAGTTTGTTGGCAGAACTTTCATGATTTCCTCTAAAATAGTTTCTCTGTTCACAACTACAGTGTGCTTAAAATATCTTCAAGGATGAAGGGCTTACCGAGTACTACCTCTCTCAATCTTTTTAATGAGAAAAATACTCCTTGGCATTCTCATGGTTGATGTGTTGCTAAGACAACACATTTGCTAGGATCAAAACAGAGAAATCAGAAAATACTTGTCTTTTCAGCCTTTAAAGCTTCTATGTATGTTTTGGGCTATGAATAGGAAATCTGAAGTGTCTTAATGAGTTTTTTATCCTTAAACCAGCCCTCACTAAAATCTACTGGAATGTGACCAATTTCCATACTGACATTCCAACTGCTACTTCTAGGCTGCTCCAACAGCAGCTTAAGGACAGCACCCCAAAAGAGCTAAAAAACCCAAGAATTAGAGGCTTATTTCTAAGAAAAAAATGTGGGAAAATGTTTTGATTATATTCAGAAATGTGGGAAAAATTAATTAGTATAATTAGTTCTCTTTTAAAAGAAAGTTAACTGGAAGTACCAGCCTTAAAATGTTATTAAAACCTCAACAGCCTTATGTTGCTGTATGGCAAGAACAAAGCGTTCTTGTCAGGGACGCATTGTCAGGAATGCAAAGTGATCTTGCCCCAGGGGTGGCATTGTCATGGAGATACAAAACACAGTCACTGATATCAGGGAATGATCACTAACAAGGAACAGTGGGAGGAGAAATATGGATAAAGTACTCAAATGGGATTATGAGAGGGAAATAGATTCAGGGACTGGCCATCTCAAGAGGGTCCAAAAAGGTCTGAGTAGCTGCCAGTTCCAGTGCTGGCCTCAAACCTTTCGGTTTTCTAAGCAAATCCTTGTGCAAAGTTGAGCTGATGTGACTGCAAGCCTGTGTTTTCCCACTCTTGTATTTCTGTCACTTATGACACAAGCTTTCCAAGCTTTTAATCAGAATCAACAAACTTGAATTTTTTTTTCCTTTTCAGTTCATTATTATAGTCAGCCCAGGAAATGAAAATTACTGCTTTCCTGGAACATGGACAGCTGCAGCAACTGCGGAGGGATAACAAGGTATTTTCACTCATCTCTCCACAGAATCATATAATGGAGAGATGAAAATGTGGAAGAGGAGCAAAAGTGAGAGAGATGTCTGCAGGCAAAGCAATCTCTGCATTTTATTTTATAAACAAATGTCAACAACTATGCCTTGATTGGAAGTTAAAAGCAACCCTAAAAATTGTTTTCTTTGCAATGAGGAGGTCTGTCTGCAATGTTCCTTTACTGTTCAGTATGTATGCAGAGTTTCATAAAGTAATTTGTTTATTATTGATGAGAAAACAGCTATACCAGAAAGATTGTACCTAAGTATTTTACAGCATCAGTCACTTAATATGGATCAGAAGAATGGCACTTACATCCTTCCGCAACCTCAGAAGAGCAGTAGGCACCTGGTAGTGTTTAAATTAGTTTTCAACTGTCAAAGGAACCAATATTTACCATGATTATGATAGAACTAGTATAGTGATATACAGAATTCATGAGGCACAAACACCCCAAGCAGGGTGTTTGTGGGGAAAAAAAAAAAAACAAGGGAAAGAAATAGTTTCAAGTTAACTTGTTGGCACTGAATCACTGTGTTGCACTTCTCTACTTCACAGGAGAAAGTCACTCACCAATCTTTTCCTAGATATTGTGCAGCTGACAGAAGGTAAATAAATTTAAAGTACCAACAGCAGATAATTTAGTTTTTCTAATGCATGCATTACCATCCTTCAGATTCCCCTAAAAGCTCAGTGTGCTCTGTGGCTACATGTTGTCCTCAGAGTGCATCACAACAGCATTAAATGTAATAGAAAAGGTTGGTTCTTCCAAAATCACAGCAAGCATCTGCCCTCTCATGATGTTCTTTTTGTTGATAAGGATTAAGAATCTAAGTTGATTGTGCATCTAAACTCCTTTGCCTCCTCAGAACCCTGGCACTGTGCATCACAACCTTTATCTATGGTCCATCTAGCCCTGTAGAAGACTGGCACAGACTCCTTTGCAATTTACATATTCTATGCCCTTCTTGGCTAGGAGGGGGAATCAGGCAACATTAGAAATCTATTATCTGTGGCCCTAGCAATTTTGAAAAGTCATTCTCTCACCAAAAGGGATACCAGGTGTATTCCTGATGCTCACAACTTCCAGGTAAAAAGCCCTCATCAACATCAGCAAGCAGTATTAATACCACAAGACAGCCACAGACCTAGAGTTCTCACGAGTCAGTCCCCAGAGAGAGGTAAAAGCCTGCTTTTGCACCAGTATGACTTCTTCTCAGTGCTGGCCTGGAACCCTTTCTGTTTCCCAACCAAAACCTTGTGCAAAGTTGAACACATGACCAGAAGTCAGTGTTTTCCCAGCATTGTATTTTTGTCACGTATGACACAAGCTTTAGTTGGAATCTGATTAATCTCCAAGAATGGGGCTCTTTCCATCACATACAGTGTCAAGAGGATGGGGAAACATCCTACTCCAAGGACATCAGTTTCCTCACAGAAGTTCTGAAGTCTGTGCTGCACAAAAATGCTAGCCTATCACAGTCACCACAGATAGCTTCTTGTGCCAGAAATCCTGCTTTGTGAATGAAAGTAGAGCATCAATTGCAGCATTCACCTGGTCTTCCAAATCAGTCCTGTATTTTTTCTTTATGCTTCTTTTGTCCAATATGCTGAAATACATTGGTTATTCCTCAAAAGAATGAAATTTCCTGAGTTTCTATGCACCTTTTTTAAGAGATGTAGCAGACATGCAGTCAGAAGAGAGATGGCAAACCAGAATGGTTTCCAGCTTGGTTTCTAAGGAGAAACCACCTGTCCCACAGAGATTAATTGCAGTTAGGAGTCCATTTTTTATGGCATATGAAGTTCATGTCAGCAGACACAAATCTTGGCACCACACACAAACAGCACTGAGCCCTGTGTGGGTGCAGATAGCATGGGCTTAGTACCATGTTAGACATAGATGATGAAAGGGCATGCCATTACCCAACTGACAAGATGTAGAAATATAAACAAAATCTTACTGTGTTTTTTGAGAGCTGGAAGATGGCCCCACTGCTGTTTTGGAATTTACTGAATTCTCATTGGATGAATAAGAGCTGTCTTCAGATAGCTAGGAATAATAAAACCAAACAGATTAATTAGAGCTAGTATATTTTCTGCTAGAATATGCTAGAATCCAGAGTCACTAAGGTGTAAAGATACACAGACAGATACAGATATGAATAATAGATGTTGCAGTGGGCAGAGCTTCCTCCAGCTGTGTATTAAACCAGTGCCCTCCATTAAAACACTAAAATCTCACTTTCTAAATAAACAAAATCCAAAACACCCAAAGCTGATTTTTCCACAGACCCCTGATATCAGAAAGGTAAGGCAGCCTGCAGAGAAGAGATAATTTTTCAAACACAGTCAGCATTAGTTTAACATTTCATATCATGTCAGTAATACAGCAATTCCACTGAAACTTACATGGGAACTTTCTTGAAAATCATGCATTTTTAATGCATTATTAATTAGCTGCATAATTAATTAATTAATTGCTTTAAAACAGCACTGGTTTGTTTGGTGTTTGGCTTTGATTGTTTTGGGTGTTTTTATTTGGTTGGTTTTTTTCCTTAGTTTGAGCTCCAGTAAAATTATTTTTCTTTTTACCTGAACACATGCTTCTTTCTTAGTCATTAGACATACTACAGGAATTTCAGGACAGGTCAGGGCTTGTGGGGGCTGTAAAGTGGCAGGTCTAATAACATTCCACAATTGACTTGGTGACAAGGATCCTTGTAAAATACAAAGACAAAATGTTTAAACATATACTTTTTCTTCACATCTAATTCATGCCTATATGTCTTGCCTCTTAATTGAGACTTTCAAAACATTTAAAAATAATATTTACTATTGTTTACTTGCTTCATGTTCTGAAAAATTGTAATGGTTTCTAAAATACACAACTCTGAAGTGAAACCAATGTGTTATCCTATCAGGATAAAAAAGTAATCAGTAATATACATAAAAATTCTGGTTTTACTTACAAAATATATTTGTATTTATAGATTTAAGTATATTTTTATACTTATATTTATTGCTTTGTTTTAGATATGTCTTCTGGCATTTCAGATTTAATTCTACATCCTCAGATGCCAAGAGGTTTCTTCATTGCCTTCTCCAGCAGCAGAGGTATTCAGTTAGAAATGTGAATTTTCACTATGGAAGGTTACATTCAGTCCACTCAGGAAATAAGTAGTCAGAGCAGATGATCAGACCAGAGTTCATAGGACATTTACACTCAAACAAATAAGTTATGAACAGCATAAAAACACCTAGCCTATCATTCAGTGGAATGGAAAAGAGCTGTTATTTTTTTGTCTTTCATATCTCTAAATGATGTCTTTGTGGAGCTACAATGAATAAACATTACAATGACAATTACCTTCCCTTGTACTTTTGACGATGTCAGGATTTCTTTGAAGAAGAGATGAGGTCATGAATATGTTATTCTTCTTTACTACAAAAAAAGGAATTTAAAATTAAGTAACGAGTAAACCCAAATTTTAACCATTAATTAGTATTTCTGTATCCCCTTTCTGCTCCCCTGAGCAATATTCCAACATATCCATCTGAAAAAGATCTCCAAGATAACTGTTACTGTCTCAATTTTTACAGGTGGGCACACTTTTGCATGAGAAAGCACCAGGTTTTCTGGCTATGTCACTGTCTTTTGGATACCAGTGAATGTTTTTAATGCAAAATCTTTCTTCATCTTTTAATACTAGGTGTTCCTGTTTTGTAGAAACAATGACTGTTACCTGGTCAAGTTTTAGACATTTTTAAGATGATTAAGTGAGGCCCAAATACATAGGAATAAATAAACAAATAAATAAATGTACCCTGCCCTGTTCTTCTAAAAAGGCCTTTATAACTCATTGAACGATGGCAGTGCACTATTGATGCTTTCACTGTTTTAATAAAAATATCAAACACCAGTGAGAAGGTGATGGCAACCATGCTGTAGAAGCCCAGGGGGTAAGGGGGATAATTTTTATGTCACTGATATCCAATAGCTGTGGAGCCAACCACAGACTTGTGGTAGTAAGTCACTGTGAGGAAGTGCAGGATGTGGCTGAAGAGGGTACCTAGAGACGTAGGGCAGCATTTTTCCAGGACAACCATAAGCACAACACAGCACAGCACAGCACAGCAGGAATGAGGCCAAGATGTGGGCATGGACTGTGGGGGCATCAAAACCACCCAAGACTCCCAAGGCCTCTCACACATTTCCAGAAAGAATGAACTGAGAACTGATTTGAGAACTGATTTACATAAAAAGAGAGAAGCTTATCTCCAGGGTGGGGAAACCCTTCTATACAAAGGCACCTGATCAAGCCCAGGTGTGTGCCCCAGGATCCTAGACATCAGCCAGACCAATGCCAATGCTGAAGCCAGGCTGGTGATCTCTTTTTCTCTCTTTTTTGCTTTCTCTCTTCTCCTCTTTAATCCTCTTTAATTCTCTCTCTTCCCTTTCACCTTAACCATTCATCCAAAACCCACCATGTGGCTATAATAAGAGATCAGGACTTACACCAGTTTTCATGCCAAGTGTGTAATTTAATAGTAAAACTTTTTAAGCTTTTGCAGAACCTCTGACTTCTGTCACTCCTTTCCACCGTGACCACCCAAGATTTGTAAATCTTGGGAGCTGCCTTCCCCTTAAGGTGCAATGCCACACATGTACCATGTCCTGTAGAATGGCACAACTGATAAACTACATAAAATCACCACTTTTTCATTGCAAGAGTGTGTTTTGCTGCTATTAAAATGCTGGGCACTCTTAACATTGTTTAGAAATCCTCTACGCCAGTGTCTGTCAAGAACCTTTCTCTGGTAACAGACATAGGTTAGGACTTGAGACCACTGCATCTTTCCTGTTAGTGCTAAGAGAGGGAGGATATTCCCTGGATCCCTGGTTAGGTGGAAGTCAGGCTCCTAGGACAGAAATTTATGGTTCCTGTAGGAACCATCACCATTATACTGCAAGCAAACTATTCATGTAATTACTGCAATTTCATTTTGGTTTTTTAAGTATAATTTGTATCACACTCTATAAATGCATGCTTTTAAATTATTCAAAGATTCCACCCCTTCCCCAGAGGATTCCCCAACTTTTTTCCCTTATCTTCTATTGAAATGCCAGTCTTTCTTATAAAACAATCCTTTCTCCCATCTAAATACCAGACTAGTCCAACACGCTTCAGGTTTGTCTTGCAGGAAAAGCATTTCTGCACACATCTTTATTTTGGCTAATAGTTGCTTTTTTACATAAATATTTACTTTTATTTACCTGTTTGGGAGGGAGGGAAAGTAGGAAGAATGTTAAATGAAGATGATCTCCCTCTTTGCTGTGTGAGAGCTGTATCTAAAAGGGTAAGAGATTAAATTATCACTTGTTTGGAGAATAAGAAAAGATGAGTTTTAGGGTTAGCCAGGCTGATGTCATGCTTTCCTTGACAATAGAATAAATTATTGTCTGCTACCCACCATCTTTCTGAAGCAGACTGTTAGGTTATGTCTATGCTGCTGACCCCAGGATGTCTCTGAGGCCACGCAGCCCAGCCTGGCTCAGGCTCACAGCTAACCTGCTCTGTATCAGCTCTGTCCCGGAGACTGCCATGTGGAAAGGTTCAAAACACTGCCAGACAGTGACCTCTCCCTTAAACAGTGCGGGCAATCAAGAAGGAAAACACTCCAGCTTCCTCCTGCACTCTGCTTTATTTTCTGGTATAGGCATGCCCTAAAATTTATCACATATCTATCCCAGTTTAACTTTCAGAGTAAACCAGACTTAGCTTAAGTCCTCTTAGGTACATTCAGATGTGATTTAAAAAAAAAATACACCATATGTATATTAATGCCTGAATTCAGAAGTACTTTTTAGTACCATCCATATTTTAAATCAAGGTTGGAAAAACCAGATCAGTCCTTCTGCACAGTAGCCTTAGTGATTCGTGTTCATTTCCATGGAAACAATACACAGTCCTTAATCAGCCTTCCCAGTCAGCTCATGGCTGGACAGCAGGAGGGGCCCTTCTGGAAACTGCTTTACATTTTAAAGGATTGCCGAGGGAACACTGATCTCTTCCAGAAACCAGGGATATAATTCCTTTCTTGACCTCATTGTCCCATGACTCTGTGAGCAATTAAAGAAAATTATAAGAAATTTATCGATTTTTCACTACTTTATGTAATATTATGTAAGTATGGAAAAAATAATGTATTTTAAATTAAAAACATGTTCATTGGAAACTATCAGCAAGTATCAATGTTTACGTTTTCATGACTTGCAGCATGCCTACAATGCAGAAACATTTATTAGATGGGGGAATTCATTATTTTCATTGCCAGATGAGAATACAGAACTCTAATCAAAACATGACTGGAGGTAAATGTCATACCAGTGTCAGACTGAGAGTCAGACTTCTGGAAAGTCAAAGATGATGATCTTGCACGTTTTCTGGAACAGCTAATGAAATCTAGAGAAAATAAAATATAATGTAATTGGCAGGAGGCATCAGCACCATGTTAGGATACTGAATTAACACCTGAACAAAATAAATTCTAGGAGGGACTTTAGAGAACAGCTTTAAGGCAGTACCTAAGAGCAAGAGGGCTTTGGAATCTAAGTCAACACCTTTGACAAACCCCCAGGGAGTCTTTATTTCTACTAAGCTCCGGGAACCCAAAGCAAATACTTAGAATCACTTCATAGCCCATGGGCTCAGAAAACATTAAGAGTGAGGAGCTACATTATAACATTACCCAAACAAATAGAAAAAGGCAGTTAGGAGTTCATATAGCTGATGAATACACTTAGTCAAATTTTCAGGGCTTCTGGAGCTTGTCTTTCTGGTAAATATGAGAGGTAAGATGGAAGAACTCGAGGGAAGACAGGGATATATATATTAGGACAGAGCAGGTGGCTCTACAACCCACAAAATCTTAGTCTGGTAACTGGGAATTGCCCCTGCTCATAGAACGAGTCCAAACACTGTTTTCACAGGAAATAGGCAGACCTGTTTCAGCGAGGTGGTGATTACCATTTTCACCTTTGCAAACTGGGTCTTCTGCAGGTCGCTGGAAAAAAATAAGCACAGAAAGGTCAACGAAAAGAGAACTGTCATTTTCTAGACAGAGACACAAAGTATAACAGTCCAGCATATATGCATTAAGTCTTGTTTCTGTTTGCTATTCTTCCTTGTTCTATTTTCAGACCATTTATTACAAGTGTTAACCTGGGCTAAAATCTTATACTACTGCTAGGATAATTGTCTACAGAATGCCTATTTCTCACCAATTGTTATCAATATGAAAAGGGGGGGAAAAAAGGCTTTTTACCTTCAAAGAACGGTCCTTCTTTTCAAAAATAAATGTTGGCTGGGCAAGCACTGATTTCTCTGGAAAAGAGAAGAGATAGTTTTGAGTAACAATTCCATAACAGAATTTATAAATCAGAGCTTTGAAAATGCTGTGCAATAACAAACAGGAGTTTATCTTTTGGTTACAAAGGAAGAAACTAAAAAGATGCAGTGATGTACAGTACAGTACATTAGGAAAAAAAAATCTGAGTGTGAGTTTTGCCTAACTAGATGCCATGGGATTTGGCCTCATATTTTTAATATTACTCTTTTTTTAAGAAAAACTGTGCTTTAACCTTTACAAGAAACATTTGCCATACTTTAAGAACAAGGATGAACTGCATCTTTGCGTAGCAGAAAAAAGCAAGGATGTGAAATGTAAAACACTCCTAAAAGAAGGAAAACAAGAGAATGTGTTACACTTGGCCTTTCAGCTACATGCATACATTCTGCTCTTTAAGCTTCAGGTAGGCGGATGTCTAGGGTCAGTTTTAATGTCTGTGTATGGTAAATAAACATATGGAGCTCTATAGAGCCAATTTTAGTCTCAGCATACCTCTGCATCTCTAAGGCATAACTAAAAATATCTTGGATCTATGCTCTTTTTTTCTATGAAATATTTTTCCGCATATATTTGCCTCAAATCAGAGTTTATGTTGATTTAGGGTTCACTACTTCTACATCTCATACAACTTCTTCAGGCTGTCTACTTTGTTAGGCTTGTGACCTGCACAGCCGGTAGAACTCTAATGGACTAAATTTAGTTGTCAGTGTAAAATAAAAAGCTGTTTTCACCAGCACCACTGATTAATGACACATTTATTGTATGAATTAAGGGCACAATTAATGGGAAAAAAGCAGACACAAACAGATCGTTTTTTAAAGACCATCCCATACAGGATTAATCTCATTCTAGCTTGATACATCTGTCATGTGCAGTAAACAGAAACAATCAGCTTCTGCCTATGAGTATATTTTAGCTGTGTACTTTAGATGACAAATGGAAAGCTAAATGCATGTATTTCTCTCCATGGCTGATAAGTACAGAGTTCAGAATAGGGTGACTGCTGAGCTATTTGACTGGCCTCTGGCCAGAGAAATCTCACACTTGGTGCCTTGTTTGCTGACATTTGACAGAATATTTATAATATACACAACATTTTTGTAAAACTCTTTTCCTCTGTTACCTTTTCAACAAAAACATCCAAGTGAAAATATGTGGATAGATATTTTTATCTAGAACTGCACACCTATCTGTGACCAAACAACTCAAGCTTTGGTATCAATTACTCAAAGGTTTAACAAAGCAAACATCAACCTATCATGGAGGAGTTAAGATTACTACACCAAAAATTTATTCAACTATCAAGGAAAAAGTAAACATTGTTAAAATAAATGCTTCATGTATGTAAAGAGGGGCATGGAGCATGAAACTTTCACTCAAACCCAGGGATATGCAGACAGAGGGATAACTACTACAGTTTTGCTGTTGTTAAAGTTAATTTTATTTTTACTTGGGCATCATGTGTGTGCAAAGGACAGATTTAATAACTTTAGCATGCTTTGCACTGAAAGCCTATTTCTTCCTTAATAGAAAAAGCAGAATAAAGTTCACATTGTTCCACTGAAAGAAAGATAACTCTCTGTCATTGGAAGTTGAAGAAAAATTCTATAATCTGGTTGCATCTAGGGCGTCAATGGCATGACGCGACATGAAGCAATTCCACTTTTATTCACTAGAGGGGAGTGGCACACATGAACAATAGCACTTCACTTAAATATGATTTTTTAAGAGAATAGGCTTTTTTCTGTCCCCTTAAAAACAAACAAAACTGGCATTCTTATTGAATGAAGGAAAAATACAAAAAGTAAAGAGTAACTCTAGAAGCCTTCACATTCTTCTCAGTAATCCTAAAGCTCAGAAGCTTGCACTATTTTTAAAGGTACATTTTCTACTCCTTAGAATGGAATTAGCAAAGAGTGAACTGCTGTGAAGAAGGAATTGACTTTTTCTCACAGAGTTAACTTTTCCTAGATCTAAAAGGCTGTAGGGGATTTGAAGGAATTAAGAAAGCCCACTACATTTGAAACAGTGAGAAGATTCCAATATTTTAAAACCCAAAAGTTCCTGAAGAAAAAAAAACTCACATAACTTCTAAATTACCAACAGAAACATGTGAAGCTACAGCATAATGGTACCCTTCAAAGATAATATCCATATTTTAATACTGTAGTAAATATAAAGAATATATCCCACCTACTGCTCTTGAGCCAAAGAGCTACCTGCAGATTAAGTCAGAGGTTGCTGAGGCTGCCACAGTTACTTATAGTTTTTAGAGTTCTATAATGCTGCTACTCCAATCAAGAAAACATTTTTTAAATTCCTGAAGCTCATCAGTAAGATCATCAGTAAGATCTTCACTCCTCAATCAGGCTGTTCATAACAGGGTTTTAAAAATATATTTGTGTTAAATATATATGTATCCTAAGCATAAACTTCCATTTACATTTTCAGCTTCTCAGAGAATTAGGCACAACATATCAGCACCTGATCTCCACAGAAAAAGACACCCAGAACTTCTTATGGATGTAACACAAGGCCGTCAAGGAGTTACCACAGTCGTGTTGATGTGATAATTTTAACACTGGTCAGTCCCTCTGCACTTCTCCCCTTCTTTCCCTGCACTAAGTCTGCCTCTGGCAGGGTGGCTGAAAGAGAAATGCACCCAGCCACACTGTGCCAGACTCAGTCCCAGGAACAGGCACAGCAGCCAAGGCCAGGCACAGGCAAATGCAGACAGAGGAACAGGAACGGCTGGGCTGGAGCCATTCCCCTCATCATCACCACCAGGACACGGACAGACACGGGCTGGATAGGGCCTGGCTCAGACCGGGCCACTCCAGTCCTCAGCAGCATGGCACTTGTGGATAAAAGAGGCTGTTGGAAAAGTTACCAGAAAATAATGCCAAATGAGCTGCCTCTGGCTGCAAGGACTGGAATAATCCACCAGCCTCAGCCAAGAGTCCAGACACAGAACCTGTCTGTCTGTGCATGAACAATCACCACAGATTGGGCTCTCTCTCTCTCCCTTGCTACTGTTCCCCTGAAGCTGTTGAGTCAGAAATCTTTGCTATATTCAAAGACCAAAACAGACCCTTTCCTGGAAGATGCATTAGAAACATTTCTTTGTGTGAGACCTCACCTGGATGGTGTCCTGGCTCCAGCCTCCTGGCCTGCACAGAAGCGCTATCAAATGTGCTTATACCTGAGCTGCCTGACATGGAAGGTGCCCAGGTTACAGATGGAGACAGCATTCCATTTGAAAGAGCATTGTGGGAAAAAGTAAATGCTGGCTGATGCTTTAGGAGCACTAACCAGAATAACATACAAAAAAAAATGTAAAATTGCTTTTACCAGATTTGCTTGTATCCTAAAAGCCAGCATTGTCTATGAGATGTAAGAGTCCCTCTCTCTTTGCTGTGGCATTCCACTCTTCACTTCCATTACTATTGCCTTTTCTAAAGCTATTGAGACTTCACAAAGCACATACATTAAAAAATAAGTAAGACCCTAATGATTTTGAAAATTTTAGAGTTGTCATTACTGTTGTTCCATCCTACCCTAAACACACATAAATGATCCATAACCTTTGAGGGCTAAGGACACAGTGGAGAGAATATAAACACCAATCTGTTTCTAATTTTCAGGCAGTCCTGCACCTGAAATAATGCCAAAAGTGGTGACAGTACTGTTTCTCTATTCCTCTCAAAGAGATGCAAAAAAATCCCCTCAAATCTTTCAGAAGGCAAGATAGGACTTGTGATGTCAATAGAAGTTTTTTACTTTTGGTGTTGAAACAGTTAATTTTTACTTTTTCAATTTTAAAAAATTAAATCTGTTGCATCTTCATCATTAACAAATAGGCCAGAAGACTGAAAATGCTTTAATTCATATCCATTGCAAAAATTTACACATTTTTAAAGTAAAGATGGACTAGTTGCTTGGCAAGGCTGAGCCCAGCAGCGGCAGCACCTCTGGGGTAATGAATTTAAGAAGGGCAAAAAAGTACTGCACAAGGCAATTGCAGTGAGTGAGAGGAGTGAGAATGTCTGAGAGGAACAGCTCTGCACACACCAAGGTCAATGAAGGAGGAGAGAGAGAATGTGAATGGTGAGGCAGCTGTGCCCCTGCAGCCCCTGGAGGCCCAGGGGGAGCAGAGATCCACCTGCAGCCCTGGAGGAGCCCACACCAGAGCAGGTGGGTGTGCCTGAAGGAGGCTGTGAGCCCATGGAAACCTGTGCTGGAGCAGGCCCTGCCAGGACCTGTGGTCTGTGGAGAGAGCAGAGCAGCCCACACTGGAGCAGGCCCTGGCAGGACCCGTGGCCTGTGGAGAGCAGCCCACACTGGAGCGGGCTGCTCCAGGACCTGTGACCCCACTGGGGACACACACTGGATGAATTCATGGAAAACGACAGCCTGTGGAAGAGACTCAAGTCGTAGAAGTTCACAGAGGACTGTCTCCTGGGGGAATGACCCTGCAGCAGGGGAAGAGCATGAGGAGCTGTGACAGAATTGACCATAACCCCCATTCCCCATGCACTGCTCTGCCCAGTGAGAGAAGGTGGAGAAAGGAGGGAGTGAAGTTAAGGCTGTGAAGGGTGGAGAGACTTTTTTTTTAAGAATTTGATTTAGTTCTCACTACCATATTCTAATTCTAATTCTAATTCTAATTCTAATTCTAATTCTAATTCTAATTCTAATTCTAATTCTAATTCTAATTCGACTGGTATTAAACTAAATTTATTTCCCCTCATTTTCCTGTGATGGTAATTGTTAAGGGTTCTCTCCCTGTCCTTATCTCAACCCATGAGCCTTTCATAATTTTCTCTCCCCAGTCCAGCTGAGGAGGGAAGTGAAAGAGTGGTTTTGGTAGACACCTAGCATCGAGCCAGCATCAACATACCCCAACATTAAATAAATAAAACAAACAAAAAGGAAAAAAAATGGCACAAACCAAAACCAAACAGAAACCCCCTTGTTAATCAGAAAAAAAATAATTCTCCAATAGAATATGATACTTGAAAATTGCATAATGTCCAAACAATTTCATTCACTTACAAAACCTTTAACTGCATCTAGCTTTTCCTTTGCATCCTAGTAAGCACAACACACAATGGCTACATAAATATTTATATTTAGCTTACAGTTTTACCCTATCAAATGATAGAGCTATGCCATTGAATTACCAAGTTTCTGTTCTCTGATATGCCATAGCAAATTTTGGAAGCTTCGCACATTATTGCTATAATTTGCAAAAACAGAAGCAGAGACACTGCTGTATTTTGATGTTACAGCTTAGATTGCTGGTTCCCACAGAACTTTAACAAACAAAGTTAATCAATAATAACAAATTCTTGCACATAAGACTGCCATTTTCATTGTTTCACATCTATACTACCTCATTGAGAACATGTAATTTGGGAAGATGCCTAGAAGAAAAGTAGATTGAATGTCACTTCAGTTGCTACATCCCCAGAAGTAGTTTTATATCACTAAAGTAATAAGGAAAAAAAAAACACACTGAAAAACTTTGACTTTTTCACTAATGAATATGTGCTATTTACAGTTATTACTTGAAAAAAACACTAAGACAAAATTTTCTGGCAATATACATAAAAGAAAAGAAGCAACAAAGGACTAGCATTTAAGTGAGAGACATGGATTGAGAAATTTACATTGATAAATAAAATTAATAGAAGAAATTAATAAAAGAAATTATTTTCACTATGCCAGATGATGGTCTGTACATTAGTGACTTCAAGGAGCAACTATGTAATAATATGACCAATTTTTATTCAAAATGCTGCAACATAGAAACATAGAAAACTGTCAATACTTTAGACAGCAAAACTGCAACAGGCAGAATGACCAATTTTTATTCAAAATGCTGCAAAAACATAGAAAACTATCAATACTTTAGACAGCAAAACTGCAACAGGCAGAAGAAAAATACATATAGTGAAAACAAGAAAGAAGATAAATTAACAAAATATTTTGCTCTCTAAGTTTGGGCTCATGTTGAAATATTGTTTCTGGCTTTTGACAAAAAATACATCTGCCAGTATTTCCAGCGATGGACCATTTTCACCTAAAATTAGGTGGAAGTTAACAAAAAACCTTTTGGCTTCGGACAAGGAGAAATGAAGAACAGGATTTGCCAAACCTGCAACAGAACCATAGTTTATGGTTGAAAAATACTCATGGAAGTTCACAACATTAAACAGAGTCACTTCACAGCCAAGAGAAAGTGCCACAATGCTGCCAGCCAACATCTTGGGTCACTACGTAAGCCATATATCACTGATATTTGGCCACTGGCTGCACTTGCTGCAGGAGCAACTGTACTTCAGTGGCCCATGAAGAGACTGCTGGACACAGCAATGTGCTCTGTTCAAACACCCTGCACTAAATATGAAGTGCACATTGCTTATCTTGGGTTCACACAGCATCTGTAAATACAGTTTGGGGAACCAAAAAATAACTGCACACCTCCCTGTTTGGATCAGCAGAGAGTACATCATAAAATAAGGGAGTTTCTGTTTCATTGCACTCAAAAAGAATAAAGCTCATCTAATTGACAATTTGTGAAATGAAACTTCTGAAGGAATTTTTCCTAGGACAGCTTTACTGCATTTTTGGGACTCCAGTATTGCAAACTCTTTGTTATACAAATAGTTCATAAACCACATAAATAATTTCCCTGTCATCAGTGGCACCAGTTATGAGAGCAAGGATTCTTCATGAGGGCACAGTCCTGCATAATCAGACTCTTAACATTTTAAGACACATTCATCCTCTCCTAAGTTACTCTTCTCAATGCTACAGATTCTAAGCACAGCTAGGGAAAGGGTTCTTCTATAAAAAAAAAATCCACCTAATGCTCCTAGCTCCCACTTTGGTTCATTGCATGCCATGCGAGAGATGAGATTTAAAATTTAAAATACTTCTCTTCAGCCATGGAAACTCAGCTGACAGCCTGTGGAAGTGTTTACAGATACAGTATATGTCACACCCACTCACCTCTATGGAGCACACTTCTCATCTTTATATGGGTATAACATAAACAGGCATCAAAATAGCAATAAAAATTAGCCTATCTCAGCAACATTGTAACATAATTTCTGAGAGAAATGTAACCCAGTTGGCTTTATTTCCAACATTAGAGTGAAGAAAGTATTTTTGAGAGTCTCATCACTGGAATGTAATTTTAGCAGTGCTACAAGACCAGAAGTAACTGTGTCAGTAGACCAGCAGGACTGTGCCACAAACCATAAACAAAAATTATTTTTTTAGAAACACTGAAACATCCCACTGCTCAGAATTTTTAATTTATTGTAAAAGCCAGTAAAATACCCAATGCAAGGGCAATAAAATTTGTAGGCATAAAAAGTGTTACCCTTTTCAGGGTGTTGTACCAAATTTAAATTTCATAAATCCCTATGAGATAACACATAAGTAAGCCTCAGGGGGTTTGTGCAGAAATTGAACTGTAATAAGGTCATGATCCAACAACACTCACATATCCATAAATTTCAGTGAGTAGACTGGACTGTGTGCTCCATATTGAGCACAAACTGAAAGGCTGGTAAACTGATAAATTAGCCCAACCTCTATAAAATGTATCAGTCATAACATCAGGCTTAGCCCTTGAAAGTCCTCTTGGTAATTTAGGTTCATTCATCAACACCTGTAGGAAAAAATGGTTGGTGGCATTATCTGCAAAAAGTCCTGAATATTAGCATTTGTTTTTGTTATGCATCCCCATCAGTTTTAAAGATACTGATAAATCACTCTAAATTCATGGCTCTCCTCAGTACCTAAATAAGGGATTTTGCTGTCCCCCTCTGCAGACAGGCATCAGTCTGAGGAGCTGGACCAGGACAGTTTTGCTCTCAAGGTGCAGGGCACGTCAGGGCATGAATGTCCAGGTGAATGAGTGTTCCTTCCAGGTATAATTCATGGCTCTCCTCACTACCTAAATCCCTAAATCCCTAAAAAAGGGATTTTGCTGTCCCCCTCTGCAGACAGCCATCAGTCTGAGGAGCTGGACCAGGACACTTGCTCTCAAGGTGCGGGGCACGTCAGGGCATGAATGTCCAGGTGAATGAGTGTTCCTTCCAGGTATGGCCAGGAATGCAAGTGCTATTCCCACCCATTGTCAGGGCCAGCATTTAGGAAAGCTGCAGAAAGCTCAAATGTCGGGAGAGTTAACACTGCCAGAAACCCAGAGAGTCCACATACACACACCTGGTAGTGTCCTTTCCTCGAGTAAAATATGAACTGGAGATTCCCAAGAGATCAACAGTAAAAACAATGTAATAAAAAAGCACAGCCAGCCAAGCTCTCGTTTTGCATTACACACAGCACTGTTACAAACCGGCACATTCTTTGTGTTTACCGCATTCCCGAAAAAAAAACCCGGGGGAACACAAGAGACATGCAGAAGACAATAGCTAACAAAACCTACCTGTAAAGCATTCCTCCTTGGGATCCAACGTGCTGCCGCGGGATCCTCGGCAGGGCCGGGGCATGGTGTGCTCTTGCAGGTGAGCAGCTTGCTGCAGAGCCGGGGGACCCCCGGGCCAGTCTCTTCTTTTGGGGAGGTCGGGCACCTCCGCGCCCCGCCGGGGTCTGTCACAGCCAGCACCGGAGCATCGCGTGCCTGCACATAAAACATTCCCTTTGCAAGCAGGAATTGGCTCGTTTCTCATAATGAGGTCAGCGTAAGTACCCTTTTATGTACATCTCTCTCTAGATACGTAATCATCTATGTACTGCACGCCGGAGCGGGCTCTGTAAACCTGCCACCCGAGCCGCCAGCGGGGGCTCGGGCGGGCGGCGCTTCCCGGAGCCAGACAGGGATGGAGCGGCGCCGGCGGCCGGCGGGGACAGCGCGGGGACGGGCCCGGGGCCGGCTCCTCGCCCGCGGGGCGGGCCATGGGAGGGGACTCGGAACGCCGGGAACGGGAACGGGAACGTGGGGAGGGAGAGAGGGCGGGCGGGAGCTGCGCTGCCCGGGAGCGGCGGCACCCGGGGCGGGGGCTCGGTCACGGGTGGGCTCCCGTGAGTGCTTGCTGTGCCTGCTGTGGTTTTGTTGTGGTTTAGGTTTTTTTTGTTTGGTTGGTTGGTTTTTTTTTTTCGTTTGGTTTTTTTGGTGGGGTTTTTTGGGTTTTTTTTGGGGGGGGGATTTTTTGGTTTTCGGGGTTTTGTTTGTTTGTTTTTGTATTGTTTTTGGGTTCTTTCGGGTTTTTTTTGGCTTTTTTGTTTTCAAAAAGAAGATGAAATGTCAAGCAGGGTGGGCGAGCACCGCGGTTGCTCCCAGGCTGACAGTGCACCGTCAGCACGGAGAGGTGTTGCGCTCCCTCCTTCCAGACGCGCCGTGCCCAAAGTTCTGAAGCCTCTCCCGCGCGTCCCGCCGCTCTCTTAAATGGCAACAGCCCCAAATTCTTCAAGCGGCAGCGATTTCAGGCCATTGTGTGTTGCAGGCCTGGTGTCAAACTGCCTGTAATCATAGCAGTTCAAGACAAAAAGGCAGGAGCAGAATCACGTGTCTAGTCTAATCTGGTGTCTTTACACAGCCGATATCAGGTGTTCCACAGAAAAAAAGATTTAGGAAGTCCAAGAGCACACAGAAGTTCCGTGACTTTCCCTCATTAGAGACTCAGTCTGTGTTGGCATAACTTCTAAAGTGTGCCATTTAACCCTTCTGCAGTAGAATCAGAGAAACTTCTAGACTGGAAAAGACCTCTAAGATCAAAGACCGACCTTAACCCAGCATTGCCAAGTTCCTCACTAAACCATGTCTCCAAGTACCACATCTACACATTTTTTAAATGCCTTCAGGGCTGATGACTCTACCACTTCCTTTGGCAGCCTGTTCCAGTGCCTGACAATCCTTTTGGTGAAGGAAATTTTCCTAATACACAATCTAAATCTCCCCTGGAGCAACTTGAGGCCATTTCCTCTTGTCCTGTTGCTTGTTGTCTGGAAGAAGAGACTCAGATCTACCTGGCTACAACCTCCTTCTCTGGACATGCTCCAGCACCTCATTCTCCTGTAGTGAGAGTCCCAAAACTGAACATAGTGCAGAAACATAGTGCAGTCCCAAAACTGAACATAGTGCAGTCCCAAAACTGCACTTGGGGTGTAGAAACCTGAGCCTTAACTGTTAGAACTTGGTATTTTTGTGACCTCCAGTTCTATGTGCCACCTCTGTATAAACATTAATAAGTCCTTGACTTGTGGTGTGCAGTTCATCATCACGTTCCACAGCAGTAACGGTATTGCAGGAAGTTTGTAATTTTTGTTTTGCAAGTTTTCAGTTTAAGTTGAATATTGTCTAGTTGTTATTATGTACAACAGTCTTATTCTAGCTTCTGAATAACATTTAGTTTTTTTATACTTTTGCCATATATTCTAGGTATCTTCTGAGATACACTGTTCAAAATTTTTCAGTCATTCTTTCTTTTGAGTTCACAAACACCCTGCTCCAGACAGAGGAGGCCCATAGGCAGTTGCAGGAAAGGTAAAGTTGCACAGAGCTGTGTCTAATTTGTCCACTGAAACCAGCTGCACTGTCTGACAACAGATACAGATATTTGTAATTAATGCCTTTAACTCCCTATAACAGTCTTTATAGATTTGTGTGGGATCAATAGATATCCATAAGGATAACTGCTGGAGAAGGAGAAAGAATTCTGTGGAAACATCACATTATCCAGTCCTGTTCTCAGCCTCAGCATCCATTGCTAACCAGTGCTTGAGAAAGGATTCTTATATCCTTTTTAATACTGTATTAATTTTCCTAGTCAAACACCTTTAAATAATAAAATCTTTAATGTACCAGCCAAGCTGGTACACAACATCATCTGAAATTGGCAACTAAAAGTAAAAAGAAAGGTGAAATAATTTGGAAATCATAAAGCACACATATCTATTTTTTCATATTTCAACTATGAATATGGAAATTAATCAAAAAGTAGCTTCTTCATCACATCATGATGAAATTAATTTTGTATTAAGAGAGAGAAAAGTAAAAAGCAGAGTGGTTATCTGGGTCTACTCTTCGCTAGGAATATAAATTCCTTATTAGTTTGAGCTCCAAATGGTGCAATGTTCTTTGATGGGCCAAGTAACTATGAATCCTAGATCAAAGTCATTATAATTTAATTTTTAGTCTATAACTTTTGTGAACACTCAATTATAATAAACAAAACTAAGCATTTGCAGCTAGTGTTCAGACAAAATCTTGAAAATGCTTGCATATGTCCTGCTGTCATTGATGTTTCTGGCACTCTTCTCTGCAGAACTGTTTCTGTCAACAGAACCTCCAAGGACAGCACAGGTCCTGGGAATGCCAGCATGATGCACTCACATTACTCCTATTTATCCAAAGATAACATTTGAGAATTCCTTATTTAACATGAATAAAGTAAGCAAAATACATTCATTTTAATTTACACATACATTAATCACTCAACCAAACCCTTATTCTCCGCATATTAAAATTTTAGGAGGGAATATAATTTATATCAAACGTGAGGTTTAACCCCAGCCAGCAGCTGAGCCCCAAGCAGCCAGTCACTCTGTCCCTCATTTCCCAGTATCAGGGAGAGAATTGGAAGGGTAAAAGGTGGAAAACTCATGGGTTGAGATAAAGGTAAAGCAAAAACAAAGGAAAACAAAGAATTAAGTCATCATTTCCCATGGGCAGGCAGGTGTTCTGCCATCTCCAGAAAAGCAGGGTCCTATGCCATCTCCAGAAAAGCAGGTAAAATGACTTCAGAAGACAAATGCCTTCAATCCAAATGTTCCTATCTTCTTCTCTTCAATTGTAAAATGACTTCAGAAGACAAATGCCTTCAATACAAATGTTCCCATCTTCTTCTTCTATTTCTCCCCCCCCCCAGTTTATATCCTGAGCATGATGTCACACGGACTGGAATATGCCTCTGGTCAGTTTGGGTCACCTGCTCTGGCTTTGGCTCCTCCCAACCTCCCAGGCACCCCCAGTTTCCCAAATGTTCCTATCTTCTTCTTCTATTTCTCCCCCCAGTTTATATCCTGAGCATGATGTCACACGGTCTGGAATATGCCTCTGGTCAGTTTGGGTCACCTGCTCTGGCTTTGGCTCCTCCCAACCTCCCAGGCACCCCCAGTTTCACTGCCAGCATCACCGTTCAAAAGCAGAAAAGACCTTGGCTCTGTGTAAGCTCTGCTCAGCAATAGCAAAAGCATCTCTGTAGTGTCAGCCCTGTGATCAGAACAAATCCAAAACATAGCCCTGTACTAGCCACTGTGAAGAAAATTAGCCCCAGCTGAAACCAGCACAAGTGCACTCACCTCCTGCATGCAGAGCATTGTACACCCAACAGAACTGACCCTAGACCTCATCTCTGAGGAACACCACTGCTGAATGGTCACCAGTCAGTGTAGTCCCGTTTGAGCCCTGCCATCCAGACTGTTCTTCACCCAGCACGCCGTGAGCCTGCTCATCCCACTGCTGGATAACTTTCCCAGGAGGATGCTATGAAGGACAAAAGTATCAAAAGCCTTACTAAAACCCAGAAAACATCCACTCCTTTCCCTTCACCCCCTACACAGGTGACCTTCTTGTAGAAAGATACCAGATTAGATGAATTTAAATTTCCCTCTGTGAACTCATGTTGCCTGTGCCTCATGGTTATATTGTTCTTTAAATGCCTTTCTTCACACTCTCCATCCCCCACAGGCTCTTTTTTTTTTGATGGCACGACATCTAAGCAGACACAAGCTGTATTTGCCCCCAGCACATCCTCTGATCGGGCAGGGCAGGAGAGCAGGGCTGCTGTAACACCAAGTACGAGGGCACACACATGAGCCCTCTCAGAGGCAGGGCTGCTCCCCATGCATTTCTCCACTCTCAGCAGAACCACACACTCCCACTGCTAGACTTTTAACATTGTGTTTTTCCATATTAAAGCATTTATTCTTTAAATAAGCCTGAGTCACAAAGCCAGCTAGACAACCCCCTCCTAAATCATTATGCCATCCGTAGACTGTTGATGTAAGTGTAGAACAGCAGCAGGCTTCCAGTCTCTAGAAAACACACACATATTCACTGGTGATTTCCCCAAAGACAGCTACTCTTTGAGCAACACCAGCCAATTTTTGACTCATTCTACATGAACTCTATATTGTAGAGCATACAAATTTATCATCGGAACATGATGCAGTACTAAATCAAAAGACTAGCAAAACTTTATCTGAAACTATGTAAGGGCAGTATCATTAATCCAAACACACATGTACAGAGCAACTTTTACTCCACAGACTAATTTTATGATTAAATTTGAAATATTTGGATCATTATTTTCAATCACTCGTGGTATTTAGCAAGACAATAATACTCAATTTGATCCAACATTTTGGAGTACATCATGAATGAGTATTTAAGCAGTCATTCAATACAGTAAAAACTAAGCAAAATACTTCTTACATTTCTGGATTTCAGACAGGAATGAAGAAAAGAATTGTCAACAAATACTGTGAGAGATGTTAAGGCCTCCAAGAAAACACATTCCTGGTTTTTATATCCAAATCCCTGTTTTCTTAAATGACACCTTTCTAATTTCAGGCACTCAAGTAATGCATCTAGATTAAGAGCCCCATTGCTCTGCTTCTACTCTGTACCTCAGAGAGGGCAGTTTCTGGGATCTGCCCCTGAGGCAGGGCAACCAGGTTCCTTGTTAAGAGATCCTTTTTTTAAAGTATTAAAGCAAAACAGTGCTAAATAACTTATATAATAATGAAAAACTCCATTGAAACTGTAACTGGAAAAAAATGAAAAAGGATATATAGCTATGCTGGAGGATGTGATCACCCTAA